AGAGAGAGAGAGAGGGAGGGGGAGGGAGAGGGGGAGAGAGAGAAGGTTCAAAGGAAGAACAGAGTACGAGTAGTCGCGTCGCGGCAGAGTAAGCGGCTTCTAGAAGGAGAGTGAGGTGGAGAGCTAGCTCTGCGTGTAAGTCCAAGCAAAAAGGCGCGAATGAGATTGCCGAAACACTCGGAAATATCTGAAAAGACACAGAGTGCAGGTACGGCAATCGGTGTGCAAATCGGAAGGTTGGACGACGACGGAAGGGCGAAGGTGAGAATAGAGGACCAGGAGGGCAACATAGATGGGAAAGACCGGCGCAGCGAGAGAAGAGGATGACGTGGAAAGAAGTGGCGGGCGCGACAGAGAAATCGAGTGGGCACGCAGAGAGCTGGGGGTGTTGGTGGTGGCGGAAAAGGTGGCCGGAGGGAGGCTCGGTCGACGGTACGTACGTTTGCGATGGAGTAGGAGTGTGCTCGAGCGCGTAGGACGGGACGCGGGAGCGACGAGTATCCGCGAGGGGCGACGAGGGGCACGTTGAGGGGAATACGGGGTGTGAGGTGACGTCACGCCGGGTCGATACTCACTCATACTCTGCCGCGTGCGGCGACACGGTAACCTCCCGGCGGTGGCGCACGCGCGCCTTTCACCCTTCACTGACACTCGTACGCTCCTGAGCGCCGCTTCCCGCCATATTAGCCACCATGGGGTAGGCGAGGATGTGCGACAGGGGTGGCTCGGGGTGCTTCTTCTTTCGCAAGGTAATCCGCACACTCTCTCCCTCACCCTCGGCTTCCTCATCCCCATTTCATTTACTCTCACCATTGTACTCTCTCTTTCTCTCCGTCACACTGTGTCACCCTCATCGAGCACCCGTTCGTCCTACGCGCGCCCTTCCATCGTTCGCCGGTCACGTGAGATCCGGAAGAAAAAGACCGGCCGCTTGCGGAAGCGCTCGAGAGAGGTCAGGGGAGAAGAAGACTCGCCGATCGTCTTCGGGGTGCTAACTCGGCAGGACAACTCGCGCACGCATGGATCCGCCGCGACGGGGTGGCGCGGCACGCGCGACGGCGGCGTTCACCCGGCAGGGTGATACAGAGAGACGGAAAGAGAAGACGGACCGGCGGTGGTGGGCCGGCAAGAAGGGCGACGAGCTCCAGGAGCCGGCAGCAAGCGAAAGGGGCTGCAAATCGGCCGCGGCGGCGTGGATGTCCTTACTGTCGTTCTGCGAGCGGATGAGCGGCTTTGCCGCGTGGTTCGTCCTATGGCTCGCCCCATGCACCGGGGTGCGTTCTCTCTTCCTCTCTCTCTTTCTCTCTCTCTCTCTCTCTCTCTCTCTCTCTCTATCACGATAATCTGCGTGTCGTGCTGTGTTCGACCAACCAGAATAATCCCACCGATAGTGATTGTGAAGTGTGCTGACAGGTGGATGAGCTTGTTCGAGACGCGTGCAGTCGATCGAAGGCACCTTTGTCTTGCGAAGCTCCAGAAGGGAGAGGTGATCTCCGTCGATGCGAGCGGCTGTCTTCTGGCTTGGCCTGGCCTGGCCTGGCGCCACGGTCAGCGCGCGCGAGTATTTACGCCGGTGTTTGTGGCTCTCTCTTGTCCAAGTGTGACAGGTGGATATGTTCACTCGAGGCGCGCGTGCTTCGGTGAGAGTGCGTTTCTCTTGACAAGATCTCAATAAGATGTGCGAGCTCCTGCCAGTATCATCGTGGTCAAGGAGTGCTAGGATTTACGTTGCTACTGTTTGTAACGTCGAAGTGCGACAGATTGATGAGTTCCCGCGAAACGCTATACTTCTTGTTAAAGGCTTCTTTGCACATCCCTCTGAAGATCCCGATAGGATCTTAGGTTTACATGTCGCGTATGTTTCGGGCTGACTGTTGCAGGCGATTCGTACTCCGTCGTGAATCAAGTGTCGGTAACCTTATCGCCGCGCACATGGCCACAAATCATGCTAATCGGGGTCAGTGTTAGATCTTGGAAAATTCAAGAATCCGCGATTAGGGAAATCGACGCATGACCGCGTCTCTTTCTTTCGGTCGCTCGATATGCAACGTTCAAAGGTGAATGGTTTCTTGCTTTCTGGAGAATATTTAATGACGATCAATGTTAGCGAGTGACTCGGTCGTTTCGTCGAAAGGCATCATCTATAAATAGAAGCTGTAGAATCTTCGCACGAGACTCGTCCAATTACGTTTCGACGAAATCGACAGAAATTATCGTAATTTGGGAGTATTCACGGCAAATACGGCGATCAGCTGAATAAATTTTAATTAAGTTCTATGAATACAAGAATTTCTGCCTCAGGACTATACCATTCATGCTCGTGTCGTGATGATTCTAGGTCACGTGTTTCCGAGAAGTGCTTTCCGCCTTTGGTGAGCCTCATGAATTTTCGCATAATAGCTCGTCAACTTGTGACATTTAAAGACAGAATTCCGTAGAATTATTCAAATAATTCACCTTATTGAGGGACACCGTGCATTCATTTTTGCGCGATAACCGAGAAATATTCAAATAATTTGAAATATTGTTATCTACATGTGTGCATTCCCTATCATGCACCTGTTATTAATAACAGCCTGCTATAATTATCATCCGAATCATACGATTCTCTGAATCACCGTAGTATAATAGATGACGTAAGACGACGGAAACCTAAGTTACATAATTGCCAATACTCGACCGGAGTATGCGACATATGTCGGCGAAGCCTGGCATATGAAGCATGGTGCCATGGTTATCATTGATCTAGAACTTGACTGATCCGTTTTCGATGACAAGAATAATATCTGTGGGTTCGGGTTTTCTCAATGTCGCGCCTTACCGCGTCATATCGCCACAGAAAGAACGCCCCATTATGACTTGATCGGCAGATTCTCGCGATTGTCGTCCCTCCATTCAGCCCCGTTTAGCAATAGTAACTATGTAACATATTAGAAGGCTAACTGGCCACAGAAATAATCGGTTATTGTCTTAATTGCAGGAGGGCGGGGGGGAAGTGACAGACATAAGCGCAAGTCCTGGGAGGCAGGCACCTGCCAACCAGTTGCGCCCCAAGGAACCACCCCCCATGGTCATTCAAGGAGACTTCAGGAAGGTAGTGGCGACACTTCATTAACTCGTTGCCGACACAATGGACGAATTTAGTGCTCGTTGTGTCGGCAAACTTCAATTGGCGGACAGCACGACGATGGATTCCGACATCCTACGGGACTCTATTGTGTTGCTCGTGAAGCTGCCTCGACGACCGCCGGATATGTATCAGCTTGCCTTAGTCGCGATGCATTATTCATTCATATTCGCGATCCATTCGCCGTTATATCAAATATGTCCAGCTCGAATTCATCGATCATTTTATTCGCGACCCTTGGCAAGTAAGAAACGCAATAGGATATCGTGGGAAACAATAGCAACGTCCATTGTGAAGTAAGACGTGATTCTATTGACGGTACACGTGTTTTACTTTGACGAAGTAATATTTTCAATATAGCTAATGCAATTGTATATATAAGGTAAGTCATCTAATGTTAGATTACAAAATATTTCTGCTGTTCTTCACATTAGAGGAACATGTGTAAAAGAGGAATAAATTGATTGGAAGGGATAAATATTCTCATGGACAGCAGAGATGTCCAAAATATATCATAAGGATATCCTAAAGATATATTTAGAATATGTGATATCTTCAAGATATCCCTATAATATATTTAGGACATTCCGGCTGTGTGGGTTGTGGTCAGACGACCCTTCCAGCCATACATTTTATTTCTCGCATATTTTCCTCTAACATAAGAAGCAACAAAGATATTTTAGAATCTAACGTTAGTTGACTTACTCTGTGTATTATAGGCATCCATAATTAGTCAAGTATTTCATAGTGGTATTTAAAAGTGTATAAGCTTTTACTTTATTAATCAATGATATAATTGACACTTAATCTAAATAACAAACTAGAAGAAAATATCAAATTACAAGAAAATATCACGAAACAAATCAAAAGTCTACAATAATAATAACGTAATGATATATAATCATCCGTATATAATTATATATGTCCGCACGAAAAGAGTCCTATTGTACAAATACAATTAAACTAACTGCTTATCTTTGTGACAATCCGTGTGAACATTTAATTGAATGAAACTTTTTTTTTTCCTTCATTCAATAGCATTTTTTATCTGTATGAACATATATGTATTAGTATGAATTCCACATGTAAAATAATTCCGTAATGTATTCCGTATCACTTTTCTTGAATAGATACATATATTTTCATACGGAATACATTACGGAATTATTTTACATACGGAATACATACAAATACATATATGTTCATACAGAAAAAAATGCTACTGAATGAAGGAAAAAGAAAAGTTTCATTCAATTAAATGTTCACACGGATTGTCACAAAGATAAGCAGTTAGTTTAATTGTATTTGCATA